TTTGTGATATCGCAACGTGTACTATCAAACAGTTTTATTGTTATGCTGACAAGCTAAGCAGAAAATTTACTTTTTATAAAAAAATAGAAACCAAGTACTACATTAATAATATAAAGCATAATACTTTGATATGTGTATATTCTTTCAAAGCGCCTATGTTTTTGGGTTAATTTGGTGCATTTTTAAAATATCCTTTTCTACTTGGATTTATATTTGTGTTGGTAGTACATTTTTAGATCGTCTTTCGTTTATATACATTTTTTCCAATTTTCCCACCTTGCATTTTTAAAATTTTTCCAGTTACTTTGTATTTTTCTTCGTTCTTCCAGTTATTTTGTATTTTTTCTATTTTTTTTTTACTTTATATTCATTGACCTTAATTCGTACTGTTGTAAGAAATCGAACTACAAATGGTAGAATTAGTTGACCTAAGGGAAGACTTGATTTCTTCATAACGTAAATTGACCGAGAATTTTATACTTTTGTACGCGAACTTTTTTTTTCATAATCCAGTCTATTATATTAATATTGCTCATTTTTGACATATCATTTAAGCAATAAAATGTTTTTTAATATGCCAGAAATTATACCGATATTTTCTATATCATTTCAAGCAAAGTACATCTTTTCTAATTTTATTTTCATATTAGGATGAAAAATTATCTATAATCATTGCAGAACAACTGATGTGAATTATTAATCAAATTTTTTTTTTTCATTATAATTGCTTTAGATTTGAATATCATCTTAACGTTGGAAAACTCTTTATGATTTCCCTATCACCCTTCTTTTCTCCAAATAATTACTAATTACCACATTCATTTCGATCATTTGAAATTTGAAAATAAAACTACCTTTTTTATGTTTTGCAATGCGTTCTCTTCCGTTCTCATTTCATGATGAAAAAAATTTTCTTAATATTTGCATGCTAAAGATTTTAATGCGAAATATATATAACTGATGAATATATTCACTAGTTATAAATTAAATTTTCGGTAACTGAATGAGATTCAGTTACTGAAAATTTAATCAGAATCTTTCAGTTCAGCGAAGTTTTAATTAGAAGCAGTTTTACTTGATGTTATTTACCAAATATCCTCAACTGGCAGTAGTTTGTTCTAAAAAAACAATTACATATAGTATTTTTTTTCTCTTTTTTTGATGACAATAAAGTATTCTTTTTTCTCTTAGAAATTAGTCAATGATGGGAAGGAAATACTAATAATATAGTGAGGAAAAAGTTTTCAATTAGTTTTTTTTTCTTTATTATTATTGACTGTTCAAAGTAATAGACGGAATATTTATCATTTTGAGTCGTTTTTGATATAAAGTAAGAAATTCCTTTTAAAAAAAAGGAAAGATTGAAATTATTCTGATCAAAATTATCAGTCATATTAAAATACTTAATTAACTCTCTTTTGATATATTCTATTTTCCAACTATATCAAATAAATGAAGTTGTATTACATGAATTCTTATGACTGATACAGTTTATGCTTCGGTACCTGTTTCCAGAGTTTTATCGTCTATTATTTTTGGCAATAATAGACTGAGTTTGGTATACATTCGTGTTAATGGTGGTGTTGCTTTAAATATCATCGCTGTAATTATTACCAGTAAGTTATTAAAAACTTCCAATTAAGATTACTGGAAAAACAATAAAATGCCGGAGGGAAAACTCGATTAGTTCAGCTCTCGGAAGGAAACAAATGCAAAAGAATGCGAACGAAAACGATTGGAGTTGGGACAGTTATCATAGCTTTACATTATATTTTGCTAATTTGGTTTCAATCTAACTCACTTGAAATTGCACTAGCTTCATTTTTATCCTTCGGTTTGCCTGCATCCGTAGGGACGGTTAAATTTTCGATCATCACTTTGTGACGACGTCCGGCATATTCAGACGGATCACGAGGCCAGTAATCTGAGGTGGGTATCAGTACGCACACTTCGTCTTCCTCATTTGGTTCCAAAAATCCGTGACACGTGGAAAAACGAGGAAATGAGCGCTCCCTCGTTCGTATACGATACACGATAGGTACCGGATCATTGTTTCTTATCTATATAAGATTTTTGGAAAGTTTACAAAACTAAAAATTATGAAATACAAAGAAAAAAATCACCAATTTTAAATAAATCATAGTTTTGAGATTTTTAAATCCAGTTTAAAATTCAGATAAAAAACACTGCAAATTAAAAGAGAAAAGTATTTGAAACTTAAAAGCACATATTGTAATATTTTCCTGGGAACGAAATCACAAATTCCAATAATTCAATTACTGAAATTTTAAAAAAGTTTACTTTAAAACGGGCATATTGGGAGACTCGATAATTATCAACAGCTGTAAAAATGATCCATGAAGGAATCAACTGAACTTCGAAATCTGGCGTGTCTCCTATTGCTTTATTTTCCGAGCTACCACTGTCATTTAGTCTATCAAGCATTTCGAGTTTCTAACTGCTCCCGAAAATATTTGATGAGTAAAAGCAACACAATCTTGGTTGATTACAACGTATCGAAATTAATCAAAATGATTTACTGTTTTAAATTTTCTATATTTAAATAGGATTTGGATGAATTTTGTTCAGACCTCGGAAAGATTCAAACACTTAAAATTTCTCAAATCTTCATAAATTTGCATATCCAAACTACACAATAGAGAAATTTGCCATTAGATGAATATAAAAACAGCATAGAAATGATGAAGAGGAGAGTGTTTGTTAGTCTTGAGAGTGGAATTCCATGGAATTTTTATCTAAAAATCCTTTAAAATCAGTGAAATTACTGGACTGTCTCGAAATTACATTCAAATTATGCACTGTTAAGAAGAGAAGGCCGGGAAATCGATTGGAGGAAGTATGACGAAGAATACGTAAGGACGAGTCGCATTATCTCAAGAGGCACGGACGTTTCATGTGGCGTATGTTTAGGGAGGTGGTGATTGGCTATTAATAATTGTCCGTGTGGATATGCAAATGTTGTGAGGATAAATTCGGAGCATAAATATCCACTTTGGTTGTGATTATGTTTCATCGTTGGTATCGATTGCGTATTGTTAGCTATTATTGTGATTTATCTTGAGTATTGTATTTTTTTCAACTGCCAATTTAGGATACTGATCCGGTGAGATAATTTTACGGAATTGATTAAAATAAATACGTTTCGTTACATCAGCGTCCTGCTATTTCCGGCCAGTCGAATTCAGCTGCTATTTGGACAGCTGGCAACAAAAGTCACTGTCACAAATAGTTGTAAGTTAGTCAATTTTCCGGTACGATGTTTTTCTTAGACTTGATTATATTTCGGTTGATGAAATACTTAGCAAATTAGGTAGTGGTGTTCGTTATTAAGGAGCCTTGAAATTCGAGATTATATGGATGGAATAATTTCATAATCAACAATTTATTATGATTTTTATAGTTTTGTTGGTAATTTTTTCTCTACATTTAAGTGTGTCATCTTATCTGTTATGAATATCATAATACATTGACAAGATATTCATAACTTATTCTACATCATCGAAAAAAAAAATCATTTCATTCATTTTATTTCTATCTTTTTTGTCGCTTTATTGCAAATGATTCGAAACAGAAGATATATGACTGATGATTTATTTAAACGACGTCAAATTAATTCGGTAATCGATTAACCAAATATATCATGCTGGAGCTATTGGATAGTTACTTAATTATCTGCTTGATTCACTTAACTGTTGAAACTTTGCATGTATTTGCATGTTTTTAGGTTGCTTGAAATTAGGCAGTGGAAACACGGCTATGGTCGATGGAACCAACGTAGTTGGCTCTATGATCGATGAAAGTTGCTCGCCTTACAAAAGCAGATTTTATCAATTCTTTTTTTTGTTTCTCGTGATATACATTGCAAGCAAGAGATAATATAATAGTTTTATTCAGATAGAAAATACAGAAATTTATTGTGCTTTCATTTATGCAGTTACTTAACATGGAAATAAATCCGTAATGATAAATGGTTTGATAAGGGAATTTCAGAAATGAGGGCATAGAAAGTCGTTATGTTTTTGCAGAGAAATTTTCACTTTAATTTATTAGTGTTGTATAATTGATGGTATTTATAGGACCATATTCACAAAAGGCATGGAAACTACCGGTAACAGAGCCATCGCCGCGACTTTATTTATACAATAGCTTTACACGGAAAAAAGAACTCTTTGTGCCATTGAACCCCAAGCAGGTATTATTCTCGATTGTTATTTGCATAGATTGTTTTTCATTTCCATTTTTTTAAAATTTTATCAGAATACTGAAAGAAATTAAGGTGAAATGGTACATTTGTGGACCTACGGTCTATGATTCTTCACACATTGGACATGCACGAGCTTATCTTTCTTTCGACATTCTACGACGTGTTTTACAAGATTACTTTGGTTATGACATACAGTACATAATGAATATAACAGATGTTGATGACAAAATTATTAAGAGGTAAATTATTGCTTAGAAATGATATTTTTTCTTATTCGTATTTAGTTTACGGGAATAGTGAGTAGAACTGCAATTTCAGGGCTCGTCAACTGTATTTGTTAGAAAATTATATTTCTGGAACGTTTGGAGAACTTTCAATGACCAAGGTCATCGAAGACACTCTGTTAGCATTGGATAAATTCAAGAGCAAATGTATTGATGAAACTGATCCAGATAAAAAAAGCATGTTGGCTGATATGGTAAATTGTAAATTAAGATAAAATTCTTGGGTCAATTACTCTTTTATATATTAAATGAAGAACTAAAAATTAAAAGAACTGAAAATGAAGAACTAAAAATTTTTTTTTCAAAAATTGAAAAAATTTCGTTTGACATTACGCAAAAACGAGTTAAAACCGCTCTCAGTTATGTATGTCTTTATCCTCCCTGATCATTATTTTCAGAAATGAACGGTTTAAAAATCGGTGTAATTTTGCAGTGTGCAGAAGTGAATGTTGCTGTAAAAAAGCTAGAGTGTTCGTTGCTACAATCGGAACAAGAAACAGAGAAGTCAAAGAATGAATTGCTAGGTGCTGCAAAGGATGTTCTTTCAGATTGGTTAGATTCGCTTTACAAGCATACAGTTAGCGACTTGGCTGTCTTCGATCGTCTTGCTAAGAAGTTAGCACTTTTTAGTTTTTTTAATGTGCTAAAAAAATTCTTTTAAAAAGAAAAAAAGAAAAAGAAAAATGAATATTGATTCAGTTTAGATATGAAAACGAATTTCTCTGCGATATGGCCTGTTTAAATGTGCTACCACCAACTGTTTTGACTCGGGTTTCAGAATATGTTCCTGAGATTATTGCATACGTAGAGAAAATAATAGATAATGGCTACGGATACGTCACTAAAGACGGTTCGGTTAGTTTTTTTGGCTAGAACATTTTCCATCTGGTATGCATATATATATATATATATGTGTAAGCCGCATCGACAAAGATTTTTTTATTTTTCTTTTTAGCTTTGTTATTATAATAAAATTTCAGGTTTATTTCGACACGGTGAAGTTTGATAATAGTGAGAAACATAGCTATTGCAAATTGGTACCAGAAGCATTTACTGATAATGAACAACTGATGAAAAATATGCGGGAAAGTGAGGGAGATTTGAGTATGGGCAATTTGCAAGTTAGTACCAATGATTTTCAGTTTTAACATATATTTCATGATTTCTTGTATAGTATGATTATTATTTATTTCACTAGTTCTTTTTCAGTATAAAAGGAATGTTACTGACTTTGCGCTGTGGAAATCCTCGAAAGATGGTGAGCCATACTGGAATAGTCCTTGGGGAAAAGGTAAGAATTTGAGGATTTGTGTATCCATTAGTGTTTCTAACCTGTATTTATTTCAATACACATAACGCTTACTTTTTATCTGCAACTTAACGTTATCACTTCTCTTGAAATATACAACGTGCTTTGTTCCAGGTCGACCGGGTTGGCATATCGAGTGCTCAGCAATGAGTTCAAAAATCTGTGGCTCTTCTTTAGATATTCATGCTGGTGGTTTTGATTTGAAATTTCCACATCACGATAATGAAATAGCACAGGTAACTGAAAATTGATTTTGGAATGGTCTTTGCTACTCACTTTTATACTTCATACTCCAGTTATTCCTTTCTTGAAATTTACAGAGTTTATAAACAAGTTCCTAAAGCTGAAGATTTTTCTTATCTAAAGAGTCTGTTTTAAAATTACTTAAAACTTTTACTTATGCCCATTATTCTTTAACGACAGATGCGAATCACGAAGTTTTAGTACTATAAATCAGTATGATAATTCGTTAATTTATCTCGTATATGTTGTCATCATTATTCAGGTGGAAGCTCATTATGATATTGAAAATTGGGTCAATTACTTTTTGCACTGTGGTTCACTTCGAATTGCTGGTTTAAAAATGTCCAAAAGTCTCAAAAATTTCATAACGATTCGCGAGGCATTGAAACATTATTCTGCTCGACAATTGAGGATATTATTCCTAATGCATAATTGGAGTGATATTCTTGATTATAGGTCAGCTTGGTTTTGGAATTTTGTATGGATAAATTTTTAAGTTCTTTATTCATTGATATGTTCATAAAATCTAACATTTTCAGTCATGCTTCTATGGAAAGAGCTTTGCAGTTTGAAAAAATCACCAATGAATTTTTCTTAGTCATTAAGGATTACTTGCGAAAGCATTATAAGCCGAATAATAGTGAAGTGAGTATCTTTGATTTAGCAAGATAATTTTGCATTTTCGATTCATTATATTTATAATTTTTGAAAACTCAGTTTTTTTAGAGTTATCAAAAATATGTTGATGTGGAATTAGTTTTGGTCGATAATTTTTGCAAAGTTAAAACTGAGATAAACTTAGCATTGTGTGATTCGGTCGATACACGAACAGTAATTGAAAAGTTGCGGGAATTGATTGGCATAGGAAATTCTTACATCAGTGAAATGGTTAGTGTTTGTTGATGCGGTAGTATTTTAAAGCGTTATGGTAGTGATAGCATTAACTGATAACTTTCGCAAACTTTTTTATGCATCGGTTATTCATTCATTTTGAACTTAGCTTATCGTGAAGTGTCACAGACCATCCATTTTTAAACGAATTAAGCCAGTATCGATAATAATACTATATGCCGGACTTAAGATCGATTATATAAAGCTTAGTAAGGAATATTATGTACGAAAGGAACGAAAGCATTTAATTCTAAAATATTGTAATAACCAATTTGTGGAGTTAAATTTAGATGTTATTGGTTTAAGATTATTATTTTTAGGAGAAAAAGAATCGCGTTCCAAATTGCTTATTATTGCGAAATATTGCATTATACATGACATGGCTGCTTAAAATATTTGGAGTCATACCTCAAAATGTTGATATTGGTTTTCCAATAAAACAGAAGTTTGTTTGATTTGTTCTTGATATGGGCATATAGGTTCTTTTCCTTCAGTTATCATGTAATCATGCTCTTTTTCGCTTTTTCCACACTTCATTTTTTTTTTTATTCAGTGAAATGTCGAGTTATGATATTTCGATCGCATCCAAAGAAGACTTACTTATGCCATATCTAACAGCACTTGTCGATTTCCGTGAAAATGTTCGAAAGGTGGCTCGTGAACAAAAAATTAATGAGATTCTGGAAGTAAGCTTTGAATTATTGCGTATTTAATTAGGAGGTTTTTGATTTGAAAGTGGATGAAAGTCTATTTATTTACTTATATATTAACTTGTATATTTATTATATATTCGCTTCACGAAAAGTATGACGAAACATTTTTTTTTTGTTAGGAATGCGATAGATTACGAGATGAACTTCTGCCGGAATTAGGTGTACGACTTGAAGATCGAACTGCTCAAACATGTGTCAAACTTACTGATAAAGAAACTCTGTTGCGCGAGCAAGAACAGAAGAAGGCTATTGAAGCTGCAAAAGAAGAGGTTCTTGCAAGATATTTGGATATTGGAGACTGTGTAAACTGTTTCCATCTGCAGCTTCATGTTCAATTATATTTTGGTTTTACTGCTTCATTAAGTTTATCTTGTCCTATTGAGTCACATTTCAAGATTTGAAAATTAATTGAGCACTTGATACGTTGAATCGGTTCTACTTGTTGTTTCCAGGAAAGACGCCGAAAGCAATGCGAAAAAGCGGAAAAAGAAGCATCGAAGCGTATACCACCTTGGGAAATGTTTAAGCAAGGCAAAGAGGCTGCAAAATTCTTGAAATACGATGATAAGGGAATACCGACGCATCTTGCTAACGGTGAAGAAATCTCGAAAAAACAGCGGAAGAAGCTGGAGAAGTTGTATGAGACACAGCAGAAAAATTATGAACAGGTTTGTTCCGCCACAAAATTTATGAGACAAGCAAAAAATGCATAAATATGCATTTTCAACACAGATTAAATGTTTTCTTAAATGTACCGTTTCCTTGGTGACAGTTGCTTTAGTTAGTCGTTGATATGATTTTCATTTTGGGACGCATAACAAGTCATTTTGGGCGGCACACGAAAAATTTTTTTTTTTAATTTGCTTAAATATTATTTTCAGATTGTTCATGAATTACCTTCAAATTAGATGGCTTCGAAGACACAAAATTTTGCAAGATGTAATCATTAAGTTAAAGGCTTAATTGGGCTGAAAAGCTTTATTGTAGCTCATATTGATGTAGTTTTCTAGCTAAAAGCGATTCTTTGCATTAACGATTTGTTTTTTTCTGGTTGATATACTTTGTTATACTGGCTTTATTGTTTTGAATATGAGGAATAAAGTTTTGGGATGAAAAAGTTAATTCTGAAATATTAAATGGTTTTACATGACCACATGAAAATCTTTCTAAATGTTTTGAGTGATTTTTTCTTCGTTTTGTTTTTTATTTTATTCAGTGTTTATGTTGTTTGATGTGTCGAAATTCAACAGAAAGGAATAATTTATGATTGACATCTGTATAACCTGCCGTAGATATAACTAAATTTTATTATCAGGCTGGAATATTTGCTAGACTGAGCCACGTTGCTCAGTATTTTGCTTAAATATATATGCTTATAATTGTTGAAGTTGCTGGTTTGTTTACAATTTGATAATGTTATGCACTTTAGTAATTTCATTAGTTGCTTCAATTTCATAAAATTATTAGTCAAATCAGATTATAGTTGAAGATAAATCTGGAAGATATGGTAATATTTCACTTCAGTTTAAACGCACTGAATCAGTCCGTGTTTACTACAACTTATGTATGTTTTCCTGATCTTTATAAATTCCAAATGGAAGAAATGTTTAGATGTTTTTTGTTGAAAAAAACATTGTAGGATTATTTTATTGCATAACGGTGTGTCTATTTTTGTTTGCTCGTCCTTTGAATTCTTGACGAATTTTAAATATCGAAAGTTGAGGTTTGTTTGAATTATCATTTTGGAACCTGTTTAAAATATTAAAGGTATTAGAAGAGTAATTTGTGAGATTTGAGACATGAAGTCACTTCTATCGGAATGTACTGTATATGACGATGGTCTTTGTAAACTCTGAATGGAAGATATTTTTGTTGAAGAAATATTGTAGAATTATTTTATTGAATAACGATGTGTCTACTTTTGTTTGCTCGCTTCTTATTTTGATCCTTATTTTTGTATATGACTTGCGACTTTCTAGCGATATGTGCATTTAAAATGGTGGAAGGAATGCATCTTCCTTTTTTAGATTCGCAATGTCTCGAAAGTTTCTAGTTGGTGGAAATTGGAAAATGAATGGTGATAAGGTCCTTTTTTGTCGCCAATTTATTCTTTATTTCATTTTCAAATAGGAAACTATTCTACCAAAATTATTAGTATTAATGTCGGTTATGCATTCAGTTAATATGAAGATAGCATTTTATAGTTTCAATATTTAGAAAAATACGTTTATGGTTTCAAGTGAGCTCAGTTTGGCATTATTTTTCTTCGAATATACAGAAAATAACTTACAGACATGCATTTAGTTCATCTTTAATAATTGTCCAGGCGAAAATTCTACCTTCTGATAATGAATTCCATTTGATCAGTTCCATAGTTTTACTACATTTAGGACCGATTTTACTGCATATTTTGGTTTTCAGGCCAGTATTGATAATATTATCAAATTTTTGAATGATGGAGCTGTGGTACCAAATGTGGATGTTGTAGTTGCACCGCCTGCACCATATTTGTCGTATGTTAAGGAGAAAATTAAGAGTGGCATCGAAGTATCGGCGCAGAACTGTTACAAGGTAGGACAAAAGGGGAATTCACTTATTAGTATCTATGACCTCTTCTCGAAGCATCCTTGGTTTAAATTCAGTCCTGAAACTATAAGTTGATTGAAATTTTAAGAAAATTGTAAGTATTTACTTTTCAGGTTGCAAAGGGCGCATTTACTGGTGAAATTTCCCCGGCAATGATCAGAGACTTAGGGCTGCACTGGGTCATTTTGGGACACTCCGAACGACGTCATATTTTTGGTGAATCCGATGAGCTAATCGCGGAAAAAGTTGTGCATGCAATCGAAAATGGTCTACAAACTATCTTTTGTTGTGGTGAAAAGTTGGATGAACGAGAAGCTGGAAAAACGAAAGATGTTAGTTATTTATTTCTCTTAAGTCAGAATTTTAAGCTTATTTATAATTTCTATGTTGTACTCGCTGAATTGATATAATGTAATTTACAATTTATACATCTCATTTGACAGATACATATGCGTTGCGCAAATTGATTTTCAGCAATGTTGGTTATGAGGATTTTAATAATCTAGATTATAGGAATCAGTGACGGTTGAAACAGTACGATTGCACTATTTTAGGTCAACTTCCGACAACTTCAAGCACTCATCGATAAAAAGGCGGACTGGGCTAAAATTGTAATAGCTTATGAGCCTGTTTGGGCAATTGGAACCGGAAAAACAGCTTCACCAGAACAAGCCCAAGAAGTACATGATTGGATTCGAGAATTCCTGAAAGAAAAAGTATCTGCAGATGTAGCTCAAAAAACGCGAATCCTTTATGGAGGTAACACATTATTTAATTTTATTTTCATAAATCACTGACCATGTTTTTTTACGAAAATCCTTGATTTCTGTTATGCTTATGCAATAAGTGATTTAGCGAGCTCGCATCCAGATATTAGGTGTCAACTCAATTCTATATAAATTCTGGATCAATACACAGGAACAAATGAGATTATGTTAAGAAAGAGTTGATTGGCAGAGAGCACTGAATGTGATCTTAGGATGCTTGATACTATATAGTATCGGTTGCAATTAATCTTCATCTTTCCATTTTTAATCTTGCTGCAATAGATATTATCTAACACGAATTTATTCAGAATTCATGCAATTCATTTATATTATTTTAGTAATCTATAGTATTAGCTGGAGTTGTACTTTTTTTCAGGATCGGTAACTGCTGAAAATGCGGCTGATCTGGCGAAAAAACCAGATATTGACGGTTTCCTGGTTGGCGGCGCTTCACTGAAGCCTGATTTTATTAAAATTATTCATGCTCGCGGTTAATTTAGTAGCTGCTTGATGCTCAGTGCTCGCATTCGTCTTTATCTTTCTTGAATATTTGGAAGCAACTGTAGAATTTGCTCTGTATAAGTAATGATTCCATGATTTAATTTATTCAGTAACGATACTGGCAATTAAAATATTATTTTTATTGATTTGATTTTATTCATCTATTAGTGAATTGTAGTGCAATTGCACCGTGCAAAAAAATTTCTTTATATCACTGTTGTTGTTGCATTCATCAGGTCTCAATCACTTAGACAAATAGCAAATTTACTTTCAAATATTCGTATTTGTTCACTTATCTACGAGATTAATGACATTTAACGATATAACTGAAGCGTGGGCTCAGTGACTGAATGGTTAAAATATGTTCTTGAACCGCAGCTGGATTCAGATTATTGTGAGAATGGGTAATTGAGAAAACAAAAGATCTTTTATGTATTCACTGTTATCTTTTTCAACAAAGAAGGAAAGAATATCAAGCCTTATGCTTGGGATTGAATGCACTTAAATTTCGAATATATCGCTCAAAGTTAAATTGAAGAATCAGTTTATCTTGGCTATTCCCCAAACAGAAATGTTTATATCCTGTTGTTTTTACCGGTGTCAGTGTATTGAATAAAAGATGGGATAGTTTTATGCCTTTGATCTGCATCAGATTCATTTTTCTTGTTTTTACTGTTAGAAGCGAAACGTAAAAGCAAGGTAATTAGTGCAAATGGAAGACTACTAAATGAGTCCATAAATATAACGTTACTGATACCGTGGTAATTTATGAAAATGGATTTCCAGGTGATCTCAATGAGTAATGTATATGTGAATGAACCGGCAACGAGCGGTAAGGTATGTTTTGATGTGAAGAATTTATTGTTCAAGGAGAAAGACTTTTTCTCAAGAAATTTTTTACAATAGCATCACTGAAGTATCCTTATATCAATGAGGTAGATATGTGGAAGCGAAAAAAATGTGGGTAGCTTGAAATGACCATCAGTACAATGTGAATGAATTAAGTAATCAATGGTGGAAGTTTTTGAAAACATGAAGTTCAAACTTTAAAGTTTTTGTTAAACGTTTTTGGATTTTTCATATCTATAATAAGAGAAATTTTTTTTCAGATCTGTATGAAAACAACAGTTGGTGATATCGATATCGAACTATGGTCAAAAGAATGTCCACTTGCATGCAGAAATTTCATCCAGTTGTGCATGGAAGGCTACTATAATGGTACGATATTTCATCGCGTAATCCGAGATTTTATCGTTCAAGGAGGTGATCCAACGGGTACTGGTGAAGGAGGTGAAAGTATTTATACTGCTTCATTCAAGGTATTTTCAAAAGTCGTAGTATAGTTTGAGGATATTTTGTACGGAAATTCTTTATATTTACTTATTTCTGAGGTATTTTTATTTCCGGAAGTTAAAGTTTGGAAATACTCGTTTACCTTTTTTATCATGTAGGTCATAGTACGATTTGAGGATATTTTTTACGGAAACTCTTTAAAAAAACTCTTTATACTAGTATATATCAATTTAAATAATGGTTAATATCTGCTCTCTTTCTCTTTATTATGTAGCAAACACTCTTCCAGAATGAGTTCCATCAACGGCTGAAGTTTAATCGTCGTGGTCTAGTCGGGATGGCCAGTGGAAATGATGGCATGAATGGTTCACAGTTCTTCTTTACTTTGAATGCGACACCGGATTTGGACAAGAAACATACTCTTTTCGGAAAAGTTTGTTTTTTTTATTGTGTAAAAACTGTGTTCAAGCTTTTTTAGTGAAACCTTTGAAGTATATCAAGTTTCGATATTTATAACTGGACGAAAATATGAATAATAAATTAGATAAAACGGAAGAAAATAGGATGATGCCATTGAGTGGAAGGAACCTATTGAAATGATATATTTTTTAAGATAAGAGTTTACTCGTGTAAGTGTTTGATTAATGTATAAATTTATTGAAGGTTGTTGGTAATACACTTTTTAATATGTTACGCCTGGGAGAATGTGAGACAGGAGAGGATGATAAGCCGCTTACGAAACAGAAAATACTGAAAGTAGAAATACTAAATAATCCATTCAGTGATATTGTTCCAAGGGAAAAGAAGAAGGGTAAAAGGAAGAAGGAAAAAATTCGAGAGGAAAAAGATACTAAAAAGTAATTTTTTTACTTTTGAAATTTTTTGTTTTTCATTAAAGAATGAAATTTTCATTAAAGTAGGATTTTCTCAGTTAAATATCTTATGAAGAAAGGGAACGATAGCATTATTCAATGATTGATATCAATAAAGAAGATATTAAGAAGCTGGAGAATGAAGTAAATTTGGGAAGTAAATTAAATTTGACTGATAATGAAATCTATTTGAAATCAGAAAGTAGTGAATTAATTCTTTCACTGCATGGATTTCGATTTGATATCCTTTTAATTATTAAGTGTGAAAGAAAAATGCTATTCAATACTTAAACTTTAACAGACATAACTAAAAGAATTGCTAATAACGCAAGGCATTTGAATTATATAAAAGTCAATTCTGTTTAATTTTTAATAAATTCTTTTTTGTATAACATAGGCACGCTGGATTAATGTGCGAAAGAATAATGAACTTTTTGCTGTTACGCATAGATGTAGCTTGAAAATCTTTCAGATATTATGAATTAAATAATTGGTAATGACAGATTTTTTTCATTTTTTGAAACGAATATTGGAAACTAATATTTTAAAGCTTTATTTATTTCTTTTTATCCATCGTAAACTGTAAAAGTTAATGGATTGTTTTAGAAATCTTACTCTTCTTTCATTTGGTGATGAAGCCGAAGAAGATGAAATAGAACTGCAGGAAGCGAATGAGGTTTGTTTATTGATCTTATTTCTCAATAAGACTTATTTAAAACAAAATTTGAACTGATTTTTTTTATCCATCAGTCGGTAAAGTACAACATGTTTTTGGAATTTAATAGTGTACTGTTACTAATGAGATAATCGATAAAATGATGCAGTAAATGACTTTGTGTTAAATTCCAATAATTCCATTTCAGTGAAACAGCAAATGAATTGCAAACTGTTTTAATATCTCCTAAGTCTTAATTCATATTTAAATCCAAATTAGTAAGACACAAAAACTCTAATCTGTAGGATTTTGATGAATTACAACAACAGTCGTCATCTAATTTTGATAAACTGTATCTGAATTTTTTTTCTGGTTTCATTTCTATGTTTTTTATTCACTTTTATGATAGAAAAACCTCTTCTGATTCTCATCATTCTGGTTCAGGATCCTATAATTGGATTATAAAAACTCCGTTCTAGATCATCTGGTGAATTGCAATATATAGTAAAAACGTTATTATAAGTTGCAGAATATAAATTTATTAGATAATATCAGAGCCTGCAGTAGACTTTCAAGATGCGCAAAAACTTCAAATTTGTCAGGAGAGAAGAAAGAAAGTAATAATGTATAATAAGATTGATCAAGCAGATCACATCAACAAAAGACATATAGAGGAAGATGAAGAAACGTCTGATTTTGTATTTTAGTTCCATTTTCATATAGATTTATTTGTCTGTTAGTTTCATACAGAGCATTGGGATCTTATATTTTATATTACATGTGAACTTTTTTCCTACTATTATAGGGGAACAAGTGATTTTTTTTTTGCAGTTGCTATTTTTCAGGAAAATATCTTTTGAAATAGTGATTGATTTCACAATTCCATTTTCAATATGCTGAAGGAATCAAAAAGCGATATTTTTTATTATATCTCGTACAAATTTTTTGAATTTTTATATTTTTTCCAGAAATTAAAATGTAAGAGTAAAAGTGCGCATGATATATTGACCGATGAAACGCTCAGCAAAGAATTGGCTGTTCCGATGGAAGAACTTATCGAACCGTCAAGTGTATGTCAAATCTATGTTTTTGGTGTCATATTTTTGCCTTCCTTATATAAATGTTTTTTAATTTAGGCACTGGATGTGGAAGATACCGAAGAAAGGGAAGCACGGATGGAACGAATCAGAGAAAAACTGAAAAAGCGTAAGCGTAAAGCTACCGATAATGGAAACGATGAGGAAGACGAAGATTTCGAATCGATGATCAAACAAGAGATGAATGATCGTCAAAAGGAGGAACTGTAAGTTAAATTTTTCGTATGGTGTCGAATGTATGATTTTAGCTAATGACAGGTGGAAAGAAACACTACGTGCATTAACATTATTGTTTCAACTGTTTCAGAGAAAAAATCACTGCAGAAGTAAAATTAGTGCAGAAAGATTTGAAAGCAATGCTTAAACCGAAAAGAGAAAAGGAGGAAATAGAAGGTTACCAATTTTTTTAACGTTTTATTTTCAGTGAGCATATTTATTTAGTGTTTTGAAGTATGGGCATTAAGTAATTCGTTTCTTTTCTTTCGCTTTTTTGAAATTACTGCTTGAATTTCAAATTGAATTATTGGTGAATTACCCAATTTTAATGTTTTTTTGGAATAGATTTGCAACTTGGATGATCGCAATTGAAGGTGAAAAATTGGATTTCAATTAAATTTTTATTACTGAAATTGCTTATTTTTCATCTAGAAGAAAAATTGCTAACGGAAGCAACGAAGAAACACTTCGAAATGAAGCAGAAATTCAGAGAAAATGCAAAAGCTAAGCTGAAATCGAACGACCCACGACGACAAGATGAGGTAATTTCTTGAATTTCTTAACATTTCTGAAATTTGCCGGATTATTTAAGCAGAAAGATCTGGGTGGGTTTTTTTTACTTTCAGACTATGTTAATGCTTGAAAAAATTTTGGCGGAACATGAAGGTATGAAGTCAATCATCCCTGTAAAAGCACAAAATTCGAAAAAAGAAGAAAAAGAGGAAGAGCGTGAGGTATCAACTGGGAAGCTTAATTACGATAATGAGGAAGATTTAGATACTGCAGAAATGTAAGTTCGTAATCCTTAGTGGAATGTTGACTATTCGAGAAAATTGTAACACATAGAGAAATCTCATTACT